TAACATGCGGGCAATGTGCTGTCAACGACATTGTTAATCACGCATGTGATTTTCGAACTCTGGCATGGAAAAATGTCAGTAAAATAACCTCCATCGGACCTGGGCCGGGCCGGGCGGGCCACCACTTTAGCTGGGCCGCGTTGGGCCGGGCTGGGCCATAAAAATGAGGCCCGTTTCGAGCCCTGGTACCTTGTTAATAATTGCTTGTGTCGGAGAAAAAAACACATGAACATTAACATAGAAAGTATGAAGTTGTTTGAAACGACCATCGAGTAGATAAAGACAGTCAGTAAAATCTTCAACATTGATATGTAATTCCATTAAACTTGAAGAAAAAAATGTTGGAGGTTCTTTTAAACTGAATGATAATCGTTCATCACTGGCAACATGAATATTAGAATATGGATGAAATTTTAAACATATTAAATTGTTGAACATAGTCAAGATATGAGTACACACTATATTCATTATATCCGATGTTGATGCTATTATGTTATTTTCAGCAAGTGTAATGTTCAGTGTTGTAATTTGATTTTTGAAGATGCGATCTAAATGACTCTCTTCTAAACATAAAAAAAGAATATCGTAGACCTTTCTTTTCAAATCTAAGTTCGAAAATTCGTTACTTTCGATGTAGGTCTTGATGTTACCTTATTATATTATTGGATTTTTTCATATTTATTTCACTGTTATTTATAACTAAACTCAAAAACAGTTTCCGATAAACAATGTGCAATGATCTACTCAACTCAACAAAGAATGCTATGTGATCCATTTTCATATATGTTCCATAGTTTGACAATTAAATCAATCGAAATGAAACTATGCTTACCACCAAACAGACGTACACCTAGTTCACGTTCAATATTGAAAAGAGAGAGTCCATGTAAATTTGGGTAATCAACAGCAAGAAGAATACGTTCCATAGATAATGGTTCAAGGTCGAGCCACTTGATTTTATGATGAATTTTAGGCAATATCTGTGAATAAAAGCGATCAAATATTGAATCATCCAGTAATTTGATAACACCATTCGAAGAACGTTTCATTAATGTTAAATTTTCAGTAAAGATAGGATCGCTCGCGATTTTATCAAGTCGTATATTAACGCCTATTAGAGAATAAAGTACTTCAATATTGGTCAATTTATTTAAGATTAACAGAAGTATTTCATCAGATATATCTGTCAGTTGAACGCATAGATGTCCCATGTCCATCTACATTTGTCAATTCTTTCTTAATGATTGTTTATATACTTTTTTGCTCTATATTAGCCGTTGCCGTCAGCAAGAAAAAGAAGTTATCTATTTTTATATAGTCTAAATCAACAATGAATGACCTGACTGAACCAATGAGTGACATTTATTCTCATTCATTTACTCGATCATCTATATTATATTGTACAAGTGTTCGTCAGAAACTTTTTATGATTGGTCACAGAACGAAAAAAAAGTTCATATCATATATATGTCGTATCGAAGTTAGCATGTTTATCGAAGTTACAACTTCGATGCTTCCTCTTATCGAAGTTTAACTTCGATAGAATTTTTTTATAGAAGTTACAACTTCGATGGCAGTGGTTATCGAAGTTACAACTTCGATGACACTTGTTATCGAAGTTATTTTTATTTACTCAAACCGTACGTAGATGATGATCCAAATAGTGTCATCAAGAAAATTATTTAAGATTTTTCTTTCNGAAGCGTGACATCTTCGTATTATGCGTGATGCACGCGTAATAGGAAGATGTCACCATTCGTAAATGATGATTAGAAGATAACTAATCAATACTTACCAAGTCAGAATCAAACAAGAAATATAAAAAACATAAGCATAGTTACAAGTGTTCGGCGCAACTGCATATGAGTGTGTAAGATTGATTTTTCGTTTTCTCCGCCAATACTCGATGTATATGGCGGAAACTTTACCAGCAGATAGAGTAACGCAAGATCTATCTGTGGTATAAATATGGAACCTAAAAGATGTTCCATCATAGAGAAATCAAAGAAACAAGGCTTTCGGTTTTTCATGACCAGGGGGATATATAAAAGAGCCGCTTAAGTTAGAAAAGATAGAAAATGATTGATAGAAAGAGAAATAAAAACGAATAGAACATATACGTAACCAACCGACGTATATCTTTTGATATAAGCTTGACAATCAATTGTATCATCACCGACGGCGTATATTCCTTTATTCTTTTTATCCGCACGTTAATTAAGATATACGATTGTTATTTTTAAAAACGTCTATTTAAATAAAACTGAGGCTTCATGGTATCAATATCAGATATTCATATCCTATTGTGTATTGTATTTGACGATTAGTGATGTAAACAGCTGCATAAAATATTAATTACTTTTTATTAGATAAAAAAGAAAACATACAAATTTTTTTAGTAGTATTTTGCATTTTTCTCAGGCATAGGGGGGTGTAGGAGGCAAACTAAACAGTACATTCGATAGAGCTCGTCGAGATGCATCTTGGTCCGTCGTTGGTCTAATCTGATCCCTTCTGTGAACGAATCTTTTCAAGAAATACACGAATCCTGACCTGAGATATCCTACGTATTTTTTTTGGTGGAATAACTAAGGCATAGATAAAGTAGGGGTCATTTAAAAGTTTACTGTTTTCCCTAAAAAATACAATTCTTTACTGTCTGACATATTGATACATTTCATGACTTCTCTGAAAGTATCACAAGAATTTTGATTAGTATAATCGTGAAATTTTCAAAGTAAAAGTTGATTGAATATAAACATTGAGCACATGTCAGAGATAATTTTTTTCCAGGCTAACCAATAAATTAAACAAGTCTGACAAAACTAATTTAGTTATCAATAATTTTTCTTATAAGTAATTGAATCAATGGTCTATCTAGATTTCGGATACGATATTTTTATGAGAAGTATTACTTTTTAAAATCCAATTTATATTTCAAACGATCAGTAGAAACTGATCCTTCATTATTTCCTTCTTCTTTTCTATTTTTTCAGATATATCAACTACCAATATGTTATTTTTTATTGTGTAATTTTTATCTTATATTTTCTGCATGAGGAAAATAATCATTGAGATGTTTGAAAGTGACCAATTTATCATACACAGATAACTTATTGACTTTGCTACAATTAACTCGCGTTGTATTCCTTGTAAAGTTGTATGTTACTGTTTGTAAAGAATTATAATCGACGACAAGATGAATATTATTTGATAGACAAGTTTTCGTATTATCTAGAAATTGTTCAATGTAATCATTATGGGCGCACAAGAGATTGAGTAAAGTAAGATGAGGATATTTAATAATTGGTAAATTTCGATTGTCGACGTTTGATTTCTTAAATTGTTCATAGTTTTGTGGTGATTCATTTTCCATAACTAATGTTTTAAGGAATGGACATGCTTGAGCAATTCGAATGAAAAATTCGAATTCAAAAGGATGTTCATCGTAGAGAAATACGTGCCGAACGGATTTAAATAATCCACCTGGAAAACTATTTGCAAGTTTGTAGTAATATCTCATTTGAGATGGACACGAATAGATATGACATCGACCACTTTTTTCATTTGGAAAATAATCGATATAAGAAACAATTTGATAATCTTCAAGATCTTTAAATGTACGTTGAATGTCTTGATTTGATGGTAAATTAATTGAAAAATCAAGATGATTTATAATGGAGTGAATACTAAATACAAAATTCTTTAACTTTGGCATGTGACAAATAATATCTTTTTTCAAATTATCTCCATCGACAAATGAGTTATAAGGATCATATAAACGATCGATGATGATATACAAGGATAGTTGTTCTATATTCGACATTCGATGTAGTAGAGGTACAACCGATTCTTCATAAAACAACATTTTTAAATCACAAGTCAATGAAAAACATTTCAAATGGATTAATTCTTCCTAAAAAACAATAAAAATTCACTGATTTCTTTAATTCAAATAACCTACCTTGTTAATAATCACTGGTGATGGAGGAGGAAACCAATGAACATCAACATAGAAAGTATGAAGTTGTTTGAAACGACCATCGAGTAGATAAAGACAGTCAGTAAAATCTTCAACATTAATATGTAATTCCATTAAACTTGAAGAAAAAAATATTGGAGGTTCACTTAAACTGAATGATAATCGTTCCTCTCTGGCAACATAAATATCGGAATATGGATGAAATTTTAAACATATTAAATTGTTGAACATAGTCACGATATGAGTACAGACTATATTCATTATGTCTGATGTTGACACTATTATGTTATTTTCAGCAAGTGTAATGTTCAGTGTTGTAATTTGATTTTTGAAGATGCGATTTAAATGACTCTCTTCTAAACATAAAAGAATATCGTAGACCTTTCTTTTTAAACCTAAGTTCGAAAATTCGGTACTTTCGATGTAGGTCCTGATGTTACCTTTATGTTATTGGATTTTTTTATATTTATTTCACTCTTATTTATAACTAAACTCAAAAATGGTTTCAGATAAACAATGTCCAATGACCTATTCAAATCTATTAAGAATACTATGTGATCCATTTTCATATATGTTCCATAGTTTGACAATTAAATCAATCGAAATGAAACTATGCTCACCACCAAGCAAACGTACAGCTAGTTCACGTTCAATATTGAAAAGAGAGAGTCCATGTAAATTTGGATAATCAACAGCAAGAAGAACACATTCCATAGATAATGGTTCAACGTCGAGCCACTTGACTTTATGATGAATTGTAGGCAATATTTCTGAATAAAGGCGATCAAATATTGGATCATCCAGTAATTTGATAATACCATTCAAAGAACGTTTTAGTAATGTTAAATGATCAGTAAAGATAGGATTGCTCGCGATTTTATCAAGTCGTATATTAACGCCTATTAGAGAATAAAGTACTTCAATATTGGACAATTTATTTAAGATTAACAGAAGTATTTCATCAGATATATCTGTCAGTTGAATGCATAGATGTTTCATGTCCATCAACATTTGTCAAATCTTTCTTAATGATTGTTTATATTCTTTTTTGCTCTATATTACCCGTTGCCGTCAGTAAGAAAAAGAAGTTATCTATTTCTATATAGTCTAAATCAACAATGAATGACCTGACTGAACGAATAAGTGACATTTTTTTTCTCATTCATTTAGTCGACCATTCTTATGATAATCGACACTTATCGTTTCTCTATCATAGAAGGGTCCCTAGTGAAAGTACTCACCTAGAGAGTACTCAAAAAGTACTCATACTAGAAAATGCCGCGAGTACTCATGAGTACTCGGGACTTTAGAGTACTCGTCGGTCGTACTCACCATGAGCTTCGAGTATATGAGTACTACACATCGTTACTTTCATGGCAGCGTATTCCAGTTGAGCACGACGA